GTTGTCTGGGGCTGATTAAGTCCATAGCTAATATATCCTTCCTGTGCAAAACACAGTAAATCGTCCTTTAATGTATTTAATTCACTTTGAAATTTACTATTCTTTCCATTTGTAGTTCATGTTGATGTTGTACTCTCTCTCTCCTTGTTCTTCTTGCCTCCAACCACTGCTGTATCTCTTCTTGTTTATTTTCTTTTTCCTCCAACCACTGCTGTAGCCTCTCTTCATGTTTATTTTCGTTCTCCTCCAACCACTGCTGTAGCCTCTCTTCTTGTTTATTTTCTTTCTCCTCCAACCACTGCTGTAATATCTCTTCTTGTTTCTTTTCTCGTTTTTCTTGTTTCTTTTCTTTTTCCTCCAACAACTGCTGTAATCTCTCTTCTTGTTTCTTTTGCTGTTCTTGTATTGCTGCCATCAAATCTGCTAAGCTGTAGTTTGATTTGCCAACTCTGGTTTCCATCTTCTTTTTTTCTCTTTTCGTCCCACTCTCTGACACCAATTTGTTATGTTCCTGTTCGTTTGATAATTTCCCGTAATAATTCTTCCCAAGGAACTTTAGCGATACAAGCCCTTTCTTAAATAAAACTAGTTTATTCTTCTTCAATACGACTTTGCAATACACAGAATTTCCACAGTCACTTTAACTTAAACCAAGCTATAATTCACAATGATTTACACACTTTACTTACGGCTTGACTTGATTATCTGTCTCTATCTCCCTGTCTGCTATTGAATTATCTATGCCGTCCCTTCTCGCTGGTCTTATATATACAAAATAGAGGGCGTCTGGCAAACACTCGAGCCTTCAGGAACGTTCGAGATAATCATTACGTGTTACCAGCGTCACGTGACTTCCGCTGTCGTAACAATATGATTCTGTAAGTCATTCTGTAATACCTCACCATTCTCAATAGAGCTAGAAATACCCAAGGGTTTAAGTTAGATAGCAAACTTTACTAATGTACTAATTATGTCCTTATCGGTATCATTAATATAAATAAGAAAAATCAAGTCACTCCACAAATAACAAGTGTCCATTTTGAATTAGTAAGAACGTTTGATTTTCTCCTATCCAACAACCCCACAATCCAGTTAACTACTGATGCGATTTTCTTAGCTAATGTTTTGTGTGCCACCTTACTAAACGCTTTCAGAAAATATAAGTAAAAATATAAAACTATCCTGTATTTCTCCGGATATCATAGGTTCTAAAGTACCGTAAAGTGCTGGCCTTCATTATCGCCAACGGTAACTCAGTTTATAAGTCAATTACCATTTTAATTAACCTGTAGTAGAAGTATACCTTACTTTTTGTTCTCATAATGTACCGTGAATATGACGAGAGTAACCTCTAGGATAAAACAGCTTCATTGTTTTACAGGTTTTGAGTTCTGCTTTTGCTGCTACAGTTCTGTTCTTACTTGGGTTTCGTGTGGTTGGTGCAGCGGCTAGCTTGGCCGGCTCAGGTCTTCTACTGCCTGGTGTGTTATTAGCCGTGAGAATGTAAGTACTTTAGTTAATAGTACTGGCGGAGCCAGAGAAAGGTTTATATTTTCTTGGTACAATGTTAAATGCCAAAATCTGACCAAGCAATTGAACCAGTAAGCCTACTCACTATTTGTGGTAAAATCTCGCTAGACTGTAGACTTTTGTCCTCACATTTCTCTTAAATCGTCCATTCCTGATTTACACACACACACACACACACACATTTGATTTCAAACACATAATAGAATAACTAAGAGGAATGTATAAAAACTACAACTGCAGTCTAGCTAAATTGTTATCGTGTTTTCTTTTTTGTGTCTTTTTATGATACTAGTATATCAATATTTGAAATACAAAGTATGTGTTAGAAAGTAATGGGGCTTTTCGGAATAGTGGAGGGAATCACACAGAAAAATGTCACATTCAGGTACAAGCTTGCTATTTTTTGTTTATCTATATCTCTTACAGATTTCAATAATTTTTTCGTCAATGTACTTTTTTTAAAAAGAGTATATATATATATATATATATATATATAT